GGAAAACCATTGATTTGTTGACCTATCATCTGTGAAAGCAAAGCACTGCCAACCCATCACAGGGATGAAGTGTGTCAATTTGTATTTGAAAGAAACATTTTATAACAGACCACAACATTTTATGTCCCTCTTCTCTTCTGTATGTTAATAAAACATATTCATGTTTGAAAGGAAAGACTATGGGTGTTTCTTACTAGTGGGCAAGGGGTGAGGGAAGTGTGCTAAACACTTAATAGAGTTCCAACTTGTCCTTCTAGCTCTTGTGTTCCTTTGGTGTCTCCACACATCACACACAATCTCCCTCTCTACCTCCAGTGCAAGCATCTTAGCAAGAGTCAGTCAGCTGAAGGGTTAAGAATGATCACTTCACTCTTGATAGGTATCTATTTTATACAACATTACACTTTTTATATGTAATGATGTAGAGGACAAGATGCCAACAGACACCAATCAAGACCATATCTTCATACCTGTAGCCACTGTGCACTGTAAAAATCAAAAACATTTTGATCTTTAAAGATGATGACTCCACTGAAATGCACAACAGTCCTGGAGTAGCTTAGTGCTCTTTCTGCTAAAAAAGATGACCAGTGTTCACATTTAAAGTGGCACTGTTGGGCTTTAGAGTTATGCAGTGCTGAAATGAGCAGGTGTCTTCAGTATCTTAGAAATTTGGGAGATGCAGGTGAGCTGTACCTTACTGGATAAAACCCAGCAAGATGTTTCATTCATCTGGCTCAAGCAGAGAGTCACACACAGCACATATTTCATCTGATGACTCAGGCATACACCAACACTTCTATTTTCATGCAAGGTATTTTCTGAGTAACAGTAAGATCTAGAATCTTTTCTTTACTCATTTTGTTTTAACAAAGAAACCCCTCAATTTCTGCACAAGCTGCTGGGTTTAGCTGAGAAGTACTAGTAAAGCTTGCAGATGTGCTTTTGGCTCAGTGCAAACCCTACATGTGTCTGACATCTGAGCTGGAATCTTGTTTCTTATGGCAACAGTAATACCTGGAGCACAATAAGGGCTGCAGCTCCCTGCCCTGCTAGATGTTAGGAATATGGATTCATGTGGGAATACGACTTCAGGTTCCTACAGGTTAAAGGAAGAAAGAAATGACGTAACTGTTCTATCTGCAAATGCACTGAGCTTAATTTTATTCTCCCTGACATAGGGAAAAATGAGGGAATAAAAACAACACAGAGGACATCAGAATCAGGCCCGCAGAAACTCTTTTTTCCCATATCCATGTTGAATTCGAATGGAGTGGAACGTGGTGTGGTCTGTGCTCTATACTGTTTATTAGAAAAACTGCAGGGTCGTCTTCAGAACTGCCATAAAAAATAAACCTCTTCCCATTAAGCATAAATAAGCCCTATATACACACACATCTGTCTGATGGGGCTAATCCATTTCTGTCTCCTTCTGGGCCTTGTATTCCTTCACGCTCGCCTACAAAAGAGAACAGAAAATGAATGTCACAGGCATACGATTGTTTAATTAAAAGGAAGGCAACCCCACACACCATGTTCTTCATGTGAACCTCTGATTCATAACACATCACCTAAGACAAGGGGAAAGGAAAAGGGCAACATTTTTGCTTAGCTGGAGCTCCCACTTGTAAACAGCAGAGGATCAATGTGGGTCTCGTGGTGGGAAAAGAGATTCACAAGCTTAAGTTGCTCCAAGAAATGGTTGTTTTATTTCTCATTATAACATGCAATCACTGCTGGGAAGGCTGAGCTGCATCTCCTGGCCTCAGGATCAGCCAGTCTATTGATACAGATGTCTTGCCAACTGCCTTGGGAGCTCATTCAGAACCTAGTCCCCACTCCTGTTCCCGCTGAAGCTGCTGTCACTACTGTCAGCGACTTCAACAGGAACAGACAGAACTGGACCCTTCCTCTGCAGATCTTAAGTCCATTCACTTTGGGGAAGGGGTGAGCAAAGGTTGAGCAGATTCCAGTTCCCAGTTTATTGCCAATGAAGCCTATCTTGGTAAAATGGTGAAGGACGATTTTACAGGTAGGCAAACAAAATCAGAAAGAGACGACAGGATTTCCCTAAGGGCAGGCAGCAATTAAAGGTTGGTCAGGGAACTCAAGTCTCTTGACTCCTCACTGTTGCTCTAGCTACAATACCACACTATTTCCATGTATTAACTGATCTCACCGGGAGAGCAAGGCAGGACTCACTTGGAAAACGTTTAACTACCAAGATCCTTGGGTGAAAATGTGATCCTCTGTCTGTCAACTGACATAGTTAGTTACTTCTCCAAGAGAGGGAAGGGGCCCAGAATCTTCTCAATGTGGAACAGTGACCTCACCTCAAATGTGTTGAGCACATGGTGGCAGACATCCATCAAATCCGTCAGCCCTTTCCGGAATGGCTCAACAGCTGGGATCCCCCCTTCAGAAGAAGAAAAAAAAATCCAACATTCATCAAACATGGGTGGGGCTTGACTGGCTGCATCAGGGGACCAGGGAGGCTAGCCCAGGTGTGTAATGACATGACCAAAGACCTCTTTAGCAGACCTCATGATAAGGTAAGGATCTGGGCCAATTCCCAGTGCATCAGCAGGCACATTATACATTATATCTTAGCTAAGGTTTTAAAAGGTTTGGATAATATTCTTACAATTAATAATATCAGAAGCTACTGAACAGTGGTAATGGAGAATCTTACCAACCTTACTCTTGCAATGGCAGGTACAGCTCCTAGCAAGCCCTGAAGGCATCAATGCAGATTCTGGGGAATGTACAATACTGCACAAAAAAAGGTCCCATACCACGGGCCACATTTAATACTTTACTCTTCTTTAGCCTGCAATATAGGCCCATCCAGCTCTATAAACTACTGCATCTTTGGTTTCCTGAAGCTGAATCCTGTCTAAGGATCTAACTAGGAAGAGGACACCTCAAGAAGCAAATTGTGGGGGGGGGTGGTGATGATACCAGGTTGAATGTCCAGGGCTAAGCAAAGTCTTGACCTTGCTGTTCCCCAGGTCACCACGTTCCTGCAGAGGACACCTCTGTGCTGCAGGACTGCAGAGAGAAACCAGCTCTATCACTACCTCTCAGAACTGCATTCACAGTTCAGGTAGCTGCTTCCCTGCCTGCTCTCCCAGCTGGGAGAAGGAGGATAGGAGCTGTAGCTGCCTGGCAGAGGAGGTGGGATCAAGGATGCCCAGAGGGGGAATATAAAGACTTTTTCTCCTCCATTATGAAGATTCCCGATGTCAGGATCTAACATGACAAGGGGAACTGCAACAAAACAACTACTACAGGCCCAAAGGAAACCTAACTACACCATACCTCTGGTCTGGATCCTGAAGTTAATTTTGCTTTCAGAGGGATGAGTGATGCAATAACCACAGAACTCCACTTCAGGGCTATGGGGCAGAGAAAGGCAGAGATGAAGCACTGGTGGACTCTCAGAGCCAACTGTGGAGATGTACAATTTTAAGGTACTACTGAAATCAATATAGCTGCTCAGACCCAACTCCATATGTTCCTATAGCAATCGGTTTTCACACCCAGCCCTTGACTTGAGCATGCAGAAGAGCAGGTGACTTATCAGGTGCAGTGGATTCTAAGATGGGATGGATATGGAAGCAAGTTCATGCACCCCTGCTAAAGTCACTATGTGAATGAAATTTATGGTCTGACTGGGGCATACAACCAGAGCCCGGGACCACTCAAGTTGTCACCCTGGCCTTAGGACACGTAAAGAACGATTGAAAGTGGGGGAATGGCAGTCAGGGATCTGAACTCCTCAGCTATTTCCTGCAGCTGAATCCCTGGTGTCCTGAGGGTCATTGGCCACTTTAAGGATTTTCTTTGCTCTCTTGGCCAAGACTTCTCCCTTTTTTGTGCTGCAGGTCCAACTGACATCTGTCCTCCTGCCCCAGAGGCTGCATTCAGAGAACACTGTACAGAGTACAGAATGTAATTCCCAGTGAATAGCTTATTGTTATTTTGCTGAAGGCAATTTGTCTGTGAGCAGCTCAGATGACTATTGCATGTTGTCATTTGAAATTATCCACAAAATAAAGTTCTCCTCTAACAATTTTAGAGGTATAATTTTTTAACTGGGAGCTCCTCGCAAATAGTAATTGCCTGACCCAGATAAGCCTTTTCCTGTTTTCTGACTGATGAAGCATAAGAATCTGGCTCCCAGTGCAAAAAAACCTGGCATTTGCAAGTGCAAAATTAGCTTCTCTAACACCCGAACACTGGCTTTTCCTATTACCCTTCCTGTAGACACTAATTCCAAAGGAGACACAGGGCAGTCAAAGTGCACTTATTTAAAGGACCCAATCAATATGTGTGGACACAGTTTTGTAGTATTCATCCAGTGACAAAGCAGCTTGATGATGTCGGATATTAGAAGCTAGTTACAGAGGAGACAGGGCATTTTGCCCTGACATTGTACTAGTTCTAAGGACTCCACTTACTTCTTCATGATCATGTAACGGAGAGAGTTGCCAAGTGTGTGGTCCTCATCATGCAACACAAATGTGACACAGTCTCCATCTGTCCCTTCTGCCTGGACCTGCCACCGATAAAAAAAGAAAAACCAAGAAGATCACAAATGTATGGTTATGTCTCAGCTGACTGAAGACCCCCTCTGAAGCAACTAGGGCTGGGCCTATATTAGAGAAATTGCACACAACTGAGCACAAAGAGCACAGTTCATTTGGATCCCTATCAGAATGATTCCACAATGAAAAGGAGAGAATCATAGAAAAACAGGGCTAGAAAAGGACCTGATGAAGTCATCTAGTCTGAGTCCCTTCTCAAAGCAGAGTCACATGCATCTAACCCATTCCAGCTCAGTTCAGAGTGGAAGCACCTGGGCAACATGAAAAATCATGAGAGAAAGTTTGCTTTTCAATGGGGCAAAGTAAAATGTGGACTCTCCGGACAAAATCTAGGCCTATGGAAAACAGTGGGAGTGTGCATGTTCATACACTAGGAATGATCCTGTGAGAAGCTAAGTGCTTTCATCTTCCACTAACACCAGCAGATCTTGAGGTGCTCTGCCAGGCTGTGCACAGGAGTCGATTCATAATCTTCCCAGCACTTTTTGTTCAGACACCTGGCAACTGCACCAAGTGCTAAAAGCTCCAATAAGGCCGGTTTGGGTTTGGGATTGTTTCCAAACCCAACAAAGCACCTAATTAATCTTCCAGCCATCAGCTCACTGCTGTGCCTCTGACCTCTCTTCAGGCTAAGTATAGCTGCTGTGGAGCCTGATGAGCCCAGACATCCCCAATCATTTCCTCTCTGTGCCTCAGAGAGATGCTTCAAGGTTAAGTGTGGAGCCAAGGCTACAAAGCACTGATCTTTCACATCCTACCCACAACCCAATCTCAGGTCACTCCAGAAGTTTCACAATCCCCTTCATTTCCCATCACACAATGACGCCCAAAAGTTACAATAGTCTTCCAAAGCAGGTATTACAAGAAGCATACTTGATGTTATAAAAAGAGGGCAAATTACGTGCTGTTTTGTCAGAGAAGGAGACCGATAGCTAAGGTCTGCTAGACTACAGAATTCAGAAAGCCCAGCAACTCCTGGTGGTGTGACTCAACAACAACATTACGATTACAATACATTCTTTGTATTTACAGAGCCCCTTTCATCAGCATTTTTACAGCACTTCACAACTGTCAATAAATAAAGCCTCAAAACTCCTCCCTCTCAAAAGGGAAGAGAAATATCTTCAGTTTTATGGAAGAGGAAACTAAGGCAGGAAGCCTACCTGAACTTGATAGAAGAAACTTCATTGGAATAGAATAACAAGACATAAATGACTTATCATAGGCCAGGGGTGCTCAACCTCCAGCCCATAGGCCAAATACGGCCTGTGGAGCCACTGCACCTGGCCTGCAGGACTCTCCACAGGTCCAGAAATTTGGCAGCAGGGAAGCAGTGGCCATTAATATGGCAACCCTCACACCTGCCAAATTCCCAAACCCCAAGCCCCGTAGTGCCCAGTTAGAGCCAGGCTGCACCCCTTTCTCCCTACAGGGTTGGGATGGGCCATGCCCCTTCCTTCCCCGTCCCCCCTTAAGACTGCCCCATTTTCCCTTGCAGGGCTGGGCTGATGCCAAGTCCCTTTCTCCCCCTACCCTCTCAGAGCTGGGTGAAGCCCCCCCATCCCACAGCAGGGCTGGGCTCAGGCCAGTCTCTTCCTCACCCCCCTCCATATGGCCGAATGGTGGCTGCTGCACTGGCCCCAGGCACTGGATCGGAACCACCATCTAGACATAGTCAGACCTATGTCTGACCCTGGGGAAAAAGGTTGAGCACCACAGGCATAGGCCAGCTGGGGAACTGGTAACACTGGTGAGAAACAAGCCGACTCCCAGCCTCCTCCTGCAGTCCTAAGGCCTAATGCCCTCCCCTCCCATTTTTCCCTGAAAGCCATGGGTATTTTTCCCAGTCTAGCCCTATATGGCTATAAAGACTTGTAAGAGAGTAATGACATTATTAGTGTAGATCAATAGCCAAAAGCCCTTTTTTCTAAGGTTGCAGGTACCTGTGTCACCTTTGAACTGCACCAAAATGAAGAACAAGCTCTAATTGCCTGTCCTTCACAAACCCAGTCCCAGCTGTCAGGGTGTAAGCAGCCCATTTAAGCCAGTCCCTTCTCTCTAATCAACTTCCCTTGTCAGTTTATCACATTGCTCTTCAACCCACCCTTTTGCAAGGAGTGGGAGAAAACAGATGAGCCTTGCAAAGGGGCCTAAAAAGAAGAGAAAGGGCTCAGAGTCCCTAAACATGATCTAAGCCCTAATGTTTTGGGTAATGAATGGACATGTGGTGAGAGTTGACTTCTGCCCCAAACGGTTCAAACCCAACAAAGGATGGGAGAAGAGGAAGATTATTATGCCTGTTTTACAGATGGAAAATTGAGGCAATGAGGAATTTAATGGTCAGTCCAGTCACACAGGGAATCTGTAACAAAGCTTGTCACTGAACCCACATCTCTTGAGCCCTGATTTAGTGCTTTCCCATAAGACCATCCTTCTTGTCATTAGGGATAAACTGAGCTCTCCTATGCCAAAATATATACATGGTCTTCCAGAACAAATCTTTGAAACTCAGTGATAAATGCTGGAGAAACAGGATTTTAAAATGGAACTACCATGAATTTAACAGACTGCTGTCAGTGACATCACTTTACAAAGTGCTCTCACTGCATCAGATGTATCAATGATTATTTTAACACCACAACAGGGTTATGCATACTACATGTGAAATGCATGCTCAGTCCAGTGACTGAGGGAGCCCAGGCCAGAGTTCTTGAAGCAGATGGAGAAGCCAATAATTCAGGCAAGACACTACAGTGAATTTAGCTTTTCTGTGTACCTACTGCACTGTGAGAAACTAGTGCATTGATCCAGCAGATAAAAGCCAGAGGCCCACAGTTTCAAGCAACTGCAGGGAACATGCTGTGCTGAACCTGTCTAGTTCACAGAACCTTGATTTTCTCTCCCATTTTCCACAGAGATCCCTTTGATATATTTCCGGGTCTCCACAGGAATGCAAGTTTTGTCAAAGCTGATTAGACCATAGGTCCATCTTGTCAGGCATCCACCTATGGCAGTGGCCATTACCTGATGATGTGGTAGAAGGCAAACACCCTTCCTTCAGATAGCATACCTCTTAAACTGTACTGTGCTCTGCACAGGACGACTGCTTTCTGGGCCTCACAGCAACCAGTTTGTGCCCTGAGGCACAAAGCGGGATTTCTCTAAGCTTTTAAGGGCTTGCCCATACTCCCCTTGCTCTGCCACTAGAAGACATGCACATCCACATGCTTCTGGCAGCCCCACATGGCTCCACTCAGCAGCTGGCCCACCAAAGGACGTGCACCCAGAGAGGGCAACAGCTGCTGAAGGGACCATGGCAACCAGGGGAAGAAGGGGGGAGTGCAGGGACTACATGGCAGAAGCCTCATTGGCAGATGTGGTGCAATTCTGCTGCCAAAAAGGAGGGTTCTGCCACCATGTAGGAGCTTTGCCTGTGGACACATCAGAGCTGGGTGAGGAGAACTGAAGTTCTGCCAGAAGAAAGCTGAATGGTCCATCCTCCTCATCCAAAGAGCAACTTTGTAACCCAGTGTTACATAACAAATTCTTCTTTAAGCTTTACTCTATTTAATATCTCTAGGATTACATTCAGTATGGTTTTATATTATGCATTGTATGAGGAATTACGCATGCTAACAACAAGAGCCTGCAATTTCACTTATCCAAACAATTTCAGTTGTCCGAGCGCATTCAGTGAGTCTTTCCAAAGGGAGTCAGATAACCATGGACACAATAGAGCGTGGACTACACCTAATGGTGTCAAGTTATCCAGCCCATTTAGAAATCATTCCACACTATTCACTTGAAAATCTCCTCTCCCTCCTGGAGTGGGGAATTCTATTTCCTACATGCAGCAATATTCTGTTATACATTTACTTGCTATTCATTTCAGCTACTGGTCCTTGAACAACAGAATAAGGGAATAACCAATGTGTTTTATCAGGAGCTTTTATAATCTAAAATGCACAAATCAATCAAGCCTTCTCCAGCTCCCAAAAGATGTTAGAGACAGAAAAGACCCTCATCCCTCCTTAGATTATTCAAGGTATCCCCTCCAGTGAGATCAGGATTTAGCCCTCAATCCTGACAGCCCATGCTTCAGGCATGATTAGCCTCTTCTGGCTAAGCTATCTTAATCGCCGCAACCTCTCATCATATAAAAGATTGCCCTGCTTAGAGGGGTTGTGATTTATGATTATGAATTATTTAACATTATGCTTGGTGCCCAGATACCGCAGTGATGGATGCATTAGCACTGCACAGAGAGATCAGACTGGCTAGACAAGGTATCTTTATGAACCACTTGTCTTTACCTGGGTTCATGTTGGGAAATCTGAAAGGTCAATTTAACCACAAGTTATCTTGTATGCAAGTAAAAAAGAGTGATTAGTTAGGAAACAGGGTCTATGTCTGATCCTAGATGCCCTGCTAACTTTCACCAAGCCACCAAGCTCAGTCCCCTTTCTTTATTTTATTACATACAGGTCTGCATAACATCTGGCCACTGGAGATCACAACATGTGGTTGGCTGCCTCAGTCTCTTTCTTCTCTCCACAGCCCACTGGCAATAAATTGCAGCGACTGCATGAGCAACAGCGACTCGTGAGGAGAGATCTGCAGGATCAGGCCTTCTGTAAGAACAATCACTGACTATTGTTTCTTTTGAAAACCATTCAATGAAAACCAGACACTACTGGAAGAAACCAGTTGTTTCCCTGATACAGCTACTTACATTTTGGCTGCCCCCTTCCCACTAGCAAAGCCATGCAGAGAGTAATAAATTACTGCCTGCTCAGCAAGCAAGGTACTGGTAAAGGACTGCCAACACAGCAACTACAGGCTCTGCTGCCACCTCGTGCCTTTTATGGGAGCAACAAGTTACAACAGTTCAAAAGCAGGAGCAGCCAACCTGTGTGGCATGGTAAGCCTGTGTGTGGCATGTAGTACATCAGGGAGGGGACAGGCAGCACAGAGACAGACAGGGCAGGAAGCAAAAAGCAAAGCAGCAAATCAGGCAGCGAACATAGTGAAGGAAGCAGAAAGCAGAGCAACAGATTAGGCTGGGAAGGAGATTGGAGTGGCACTAGGAGGTTTCGGGGCTTATCTTGCTGGTGCCCACTGAGTTAAAATAAGAAAAGAAGCTGGGTTCAACAGCAAAAACACAACTGTTAGATGTCCTGCCACTGAGGTGAACAATCTTGCCAACATGTGTCTGTCTACAGCAATGATTCTCAACCAGGAGTAAAAAAGAGTGAAAGCTGAGGCATTTTCCAAGCAATTCCTTAGAATAATACAAAATGAAGGTTGGAAGGGACCTCAGGAGGACATCTAGTCCAACCCCCTGCTCAAAGCAGGACTATCCCCAACTAGATCATCCCAACCAAGGCTTTGTCTAGCTAGGTTTTGATAATCTCCAAGGATGGAGCTTCCTCTACCTCTCTGGGTAACCTGTTCCAGTGTTTTACTACCTTCCTAGTGAGAAAAATTCTTCCAAATATCTAACCTAAACTTCCCTTGCTGCAACTTGAGACCATTGATCCTTGTTCTGTCACCTACCACCACTGAGAAGAGTCCAGCTCCATCCTCCTTCAAACCCTCCTTGAGGTAGTTGAAGGCTGCTATTAAATCCTCCCCCCCACCCCATGTTTTCTCTTCTCTAGATTAAATAAGCCCAGTTCCCTCAGTCTTTCTTCCTAAATCATGTCCCTCAGCCCCCTCACCATTTTTGTTGCTCTCCGCTGGACTCGCTCCAGTTCGTCCACATCCCTTCTGTAATGGGGTGCCCAAAACTGAACACAGCCTTGAGTTTAATGAGGGCGCTTTGTGTCTAAAAAGGTTGAGAACCTCTTGGCTAGAGTGCTGGGCAAATATCCACCACAAGAAAGTTTTGATGGTCATCAAACTGATCACCTGGGGCAAGCTCTAGCATAGGCGACTCATAGGGCATGTGCCCTCCCTGAGATTGGCCGCTGTTGACACTGCTGCCGGCTTCTGCGGGTAGTCACCCTCC